TTTCATCAATCTTTCAATAAAGTTTCATGTGCAAGAATCGCGGACATTTTGCTATTTCAGAGCTGTCTTAGAAATGTTGCAGACATATTTCGCAATTTTTATGAAATGTTTCACTTTTCAGTTGAAATACTTGTGAGATATTTCTGAAAACTTTCAATGCTGTATGGGTTATGTTTGTGAGTATGAACGCATTAACCATCGAAGAACAGGTGTTTCTTATTGAGTGCAGTTCTTAAAGGCTCAAAAGTGATCTGGAAAAAAAAATTTTATAATTTATAGAGGTTTGTGCTTTATATAGATTAAAATAAAAAAATTACAAAAATTTTTGAGTGAGTTATAGTCATTCAAACAAAAAAATTTTTTTTTACGAAAAATTGTTGCAGTTATTTATTCATAAAAAAAAAGTTTTCAATATATTTTCTCTTCATTCTAGTCTACTTTAGAGAGGCGGTATTTCTGAATATTTTAAGATCAAAATCATATCGATCGCATGATTTGGGACTTGTACAGAACTTCCACCAATTTAAAAAACGTCGTTTCGAGAAAAACGCGTTTAAAATTTAGATAGTACTTACAGCTAGTTGGCGATCCCAGGATCGTATAGTACTCTCTCTTCCTCTTCATACAGCTCGTTTTTTGCATATTTTTGAAAGTACAATCTTTAAGAAAAAAAATATGTAAAAAAAACGATTTTTTTGACCCAACAAGGTAAAAACCCCCCTTAAGCAATTAACAAAAATTTGATTTGAATGAAAATAATATAGTACTATTAAATTCTATGGAAAAAATGCGTGTAAGTAGTACATTATTTTTTCGCGATCTCATTTGTTCTAAAAAAAATACAAAACACAACAAGTAATTATTCAAATTGCATAAGTGGTCCTGTTATGAGATAAAAATTTATACTTTCGGGCTATTCACTAGCGATAGCATTACCAAGCTTTGATCTATATTACTCTAGTTTTTATATATTATTAACGACATCTACGCATTGTATCTTTTGTGCTCTTCAGTTGGCAACACTGATATACGCACCAGCCATCTTAGACGTTTCTTTTTTGTAATGTGCGTTTTGAGCTTGTACGTTACTTTCTTTTATTAAATATATTCCTTTTTACGTTCTGTTCGTCTCAAATCCTTACCCGGCTCCCAACAGATTCTCAAAGTGTTATATTTATATCTACTGATTTAAGTTCTTTCTTTTTCATTGCAACTATATTAGTAACTATATTTTTTTTATTAAAGCAGTCAATAAAGTGGGTGACTTATAGATTTTTGTCGTTGAAAAAAAAACGAATTCATAAATAAAATTGCTCAATCACGTTACATTTATTAAATATTTTAACTCAAAGGTACCAAAAATACTATTTTTGGCACCTTTAGGTTCAATTTTCTTGAAAACCTAGACATGATAGAGCAATTTCATTTATGGATTCGTTTTCAGAAACAAAAGAATTATAAGAACTACTTGTTTTCATTTATTGTCTAAAATTCGTGTCGAACAGTGTAATTTAAAAAAGACTTCCAATTTTTTTGAACTTGTTCCTTCGATGCGCGATGGTTAATGCTTTCATGGTGGCACTCATAAACTGAAAAAATGATCGTCGAAACGAAGGAAGAAAAATGTAACGGGTACTTTCAACTTTCATGATCACTCTATAGAAGATAAATTGTACATGTATTTTATGCAATTGTCGCAACTCATTCTAGCATATATTTGATGTTTTAATATTGTCATTATTACACCATAAAAATTTATCTTCATCTTCTAAAATCGTGATTAGGTAATTAACAGTTTTACATAATTAGAAAGAAGTGCAAATAAAATTTTTAACTTTATAGAAAGAATTATTACAGTGCTCTAATTTTTCAATTTATTTATCTTTAATACGTGATTTTAATGACATAATGAATTTTTACACATATTGTAAGTTAGTCACAAGTTATATCGGGTGGACCATTTTAATTTATCCAGTCGATTTTCTTAAAATCTTTAAGTTTAAGGCAAAAATGTCTCAGACAAAAGTTTTATAGTTTCAAGGGGGAAAGAAGTTAGTGACCTTGATTGACCTTGAGAAGACGTCCTTAAGGTCAGGTCAAGATTACCTAAAATTTTTTTAATGGAACACCTTATTTTTCAAGGTTATGACCCTGAATGACCTCCAACAAGCTCTACGTTTCACAATCCTTAAATAAATCCACCCATTTTGTATCATGACGGTTCTTTAAAACAATTCTTTTTGAATTGTGATACTTTTTGACGATTTTTTGTGAAGCTAAGTTAGTTCATTTTTGATAATTGATAGAATAATATTTGCCGAACTTGTTCATGATAGTAACTCGAACACATTTTTTTAATTGTATCACTTTTAAAGTAAGGGAGCGATATGTTGATCAATGTATATCTGTTCGTCTCAATATCTGTCTTAACAATTCGCTTTCAGTGTAAATCAGTATGTACACATTTAGGACATGAGATACATCTAAACGTATTGCATGATGTACATATTTACTTCGACCTTGATAGAGAGACCTTAGAAACTGACTTTCATCTCGCATTCGAGACGTGTGCACGTACATATAATGTGCGTCAGAATCGATAGGCCTGTGTAAACTTTCGATTCGATGAACACGACTTGGTGGTTCCTCGCGGACCGTTTAATGGCATTTCCGTGCTCTCAGAAAAGGAAATATTAAATTTCAAGATGTTGAATTCGTGTATTCGTATACGCTATCGTATTCTAAAAGTGTCTGCAGAAGACGCCACCGCTTTTCGGTCTACTTTGCAAGACCGATAAAAGTACCATTTGTGAACGGGAAATCTGTAATTCCGTTAACAGACCGATCATTTTTATCTGCGCGTGTACATTGTAATAGCCAAGTACTTATGTTACATTTTAAAACATCATATTTCCACAATTGTATTTACAAATAATTGCCACTTAAAAGCTCTTGCCAAGTAACCTCTAGATTTAATTACGATTAATGTTTGATCTAGAAATTAAATGCCTATAACGGTCGAAGCTTTAATGCTTAAATAATTCAATATGAATTATATACATACTGTATATGTACATGTATCTCGTATATACCATATTTGTACTTATTCGAACTGCGCACCGAATTGGTTTTCCGGACTTATAAACGCAATTAAATTACTGTAATAATGTCACAAATTAAATTAAATTGACAAGCAATTTTTAATAATTTGATGCTCAGTCAAGCATCATATTAGAAAGATGTTAATGTACTGAAAAAGTGTAAATAAATTTATAGCGAAAAATATTACCTTGGCCGGCAGTCTTGCGGATCTCTTGCTTTTCGTACGAGCGTCCTAAGCCTTTAGACTATCGAGGCCTTAGTAATATTTTTCGCAATAATCATTAAAAGTTGCTTGTCAATTGTGATGTTATAGTAGTTTAATTGCGTTTGAGTCAATAAGTTTTAACCGTCGATCGGACAACTTGCGTAATGCTAATGCCGACTGTACTGTAACTTTCGAACCTTGTAACTCGAAAAATACTTAATAAAAAAATATTTTATTATAGTGTTTTGAAAAGCTCTCAAGGTAAGTCACAAGAAAATGTAATAAAAAAATGGGGAGTTCCGTTTAAAAAATTCAAAGTAGCCTTGCTCTCACTTTGACAACGCTACCTAAGGTCAAACAAATGGTATCATCTTATGCTCTCCTCAAAGTCATAAAACTTTTGTCTGAACATATTAGTCATTTGACACACTTTCAGAAATAATAACTTGTAACACTTTACATGGACCATCCTGTATAATATGCATGTACATATATAGTATATATATATGCACTCATAGGGTGAGTAAAAAGTCCCGGATCGGTGAAATATATCGAAAATTAAGCATTTCCGAAAGAAATGTTTCCTACAAAAGTTGTAGGATTTTAAATGATCTATTTACTGATCTGGTCAGTCTAACCTTTGGTGGCGTCGCCAAGGTCAAGTCAAGGTCACATCAATTTTTTTAAATGGCATTTTTGATTCCAGAATCTAGTAGCTGGTGTCAAGAGCTTTTCAAAATACTATTCAACTACAATAGTTTTTCACAAAGTACTTTTCGAGTTATAAAGTTCAAAAGTTATAGTATCGCCGGCATTAACATTACACAAGGTGTTCGACCGACGGCTAAAACCTCTTGAATGTTGTTCAGGATCATGTCCTAAATAACATTCATTAAAATCAAGATCATTGGAGATTGTTTCTCTTATGTTCATTTTTACATAAAAATGAATTTTCAGTGCCAAAATAACACATCTGGAGTGCCATAGTGAACTAACAAAAATGAAGATCTCAATTTCGAAATGTTTTTTCATTCTCAGTATAAACTTCACCTTGCAGACGTGTATTAATGCATATACTTTAATCCTAGAAAAGGATTTTCAAATCTGTAAAAGAAGAAAAAAGTAATTGTTGTACAAAAATTATATGGTTTAGTCGATAATACAGACGATTTTAGGATTTCCTTAATATTACATAATAAATATTGAATGATTATTTATCTTATATTGTCAAATTCATAATGCCAACTTATACCCACTTGAGTTATTTTTAATCATTTCTGTAGGTCGCCTCTACTCCTGCTCAATATGTCGTTAATTTAAGTAAAATAGGAAATAATAGTCATAACGGTCAAAGCTAGATCTTTTCTCTTTGCTCAAATAATTCAATATAAATTAATATATTTATATATAATTATATTCCTTCTCCTCAGTGTCCTATTATTCGTGGCAGAGCGTAGTGACTTTTCTCATATGCCTATGGTGCGCACGCTGGTTATACATATAGTCATATGTACATATCTATATATACATATATATATATATATTATTCGAACTGCATGCGAACTTTTGTCTGGACCATTTTTCTCTATCTCGCTTAGATTCCGAGAAATTCAAGTGGGGAAATTAAAATGGCCTATCGTGTGTATATATATATAACATCTAACTCAAGAAAATTTATTAAACTTAACTCAAGTTTAATTTATTATTCATCAAGTGCATACGTTAATATGGATGTTGTTTACTTTCAAACTAACCTCAGAAATGGATTGATTTATATTTACATTTACATTTACGATTACATTTTGATTTACATGGGAGTTGATAAAGTGTTATTTAACTCAAGAGATTGGGACGTCATTGCTATTTTGATATCTAATTGTGTATTTTCAACTTTTGCACAAAATCTCGTATTTCATATTTCTCGAAATCAGAAGCGGGATGAAAACATCTTTTTATAAAAAAAAAAGATTAAATTTTGCATTAATAATTTATTAATAAATATAATCGTAATAATTTATTGATGAATATAACTCTACAGTTCACCGGCAATAGAAGCAATGTTGATTGTTTGCTTTTACAAAACTCACATTACTGATTCATATGACTAATGTAAGTATACGCGTCTATACGTATAATAAAGAAATAGATAGATAAAGTTTGAGCACCGTGTGATTACTGCAGTACGCCGATTGCAGTTGTAGTTTTGTCCCGTTTCACTCGCTTCTCTAGTCTCGTTCTCGTCTTCCTTGATGATACCAAGCTAACGTTGTAAAAACGTCCGGCGGCGTTGCAGGTTATAGACGTGTTACATACCCACCATGCGGTCATTCATCTTCCTCCCAGTCGTGTTTCTGTTGTGGCATTCTCTTCGCTTCTTTACTTACGCGCGCAAATTTTACGCCTTTTATCCAACGAAACACACTTCGCTCTCGTGCGAGGAACGATTTAACATACGCGACAGATTATGATGCTGCCTGGTGCAAATATGCAATTTTTTTAAGTATTAATACATTTTGAAGGGAACCAAGGGTAAAAGAAAAGCGCGACTCGCTCAAATGTGCAGCGCATATACATAAAAGAGTGAATCGTAAACTCATTTATATTATTGCTTTTTAATTCAGTAATTTTGTAAATTATAGCTTTTGATGTTTGTAATGCACTAATGACTGCCATTTCTTTTGAGAACCGCGTTTATTATGTTTCTATGAAGATATATTGCGTCGTGGTCATGGTGGAAGTACATTTCTACTATGGTCGTGATATCCTTGCCGTGACATTTCGAATATTGATATGTGCAATATATATTAAGATTATAAGTTTCTATTCTAAGATTCTAAGATTTTATTTTAAGATTTTATTTTATAAGATTCTTAGAGATCGATATTCATAATTCTTACTTACATTTAAGACATTTAAGACATTCTTACTCTTGAGTACATATAATCTTAAAATATATCATAAGTAAATCATAGACCCCCCTCGTATTAACATCTTAATAATTAAATGTATACACACATACACTGAAAAAAGAAGTGTTTAATTTTAAGATATTAAAATTTTTTATTCTTAACTTCATTTTTTAAACACTTAAAGATGTTTCAGTTTAAAACTTTTTCAGTAGACAAAACATTACGTGTTTTGTCTATTGAAAAAGTGTAAAATTAAAACATCTTTAAGCGTTTAAAAAATAGGGACAAGTATAAAACACATTTCTTTTTACAGTGTACGTACATAAAATTTTCACTTTTCACTTTTCCACTCTAGGAAAAAAGTGAGCAGATCATTAGTATATATCTATAATTTCATTAATCAACACCTAGTGAATTTGTTCATTGTTGTAATTTTTACTTACATTGTTTTAAGGTACACAATCGACCCCTAGATCGTTCAGTTTTCGAGTTATGTCAATCAATTCTGATCGGTTTTCTCAATAAAAATGGCAGTAGATGTTTACGAATCAAGCATTTGTGAGATTAAATTAAATCGAATCAAATTTTTGATAGTATTCGAAAACGAATCGAATCGAATTCTAAATTTTTACGTCGAATCTTTTTGATTCGAAAACGCGAATTGAATTTGAATCAAATTTTCTCGAATTTACACACGGAGGAAAAAGTGCTGTTAGATCAACAGCATCAGTTTAATTGGGAATAACTTTGTTAATTCAATGACAGTATTAATAAAACAAATATGTCATACTCCTGTTTCAATAAACGAGTATTTGCCTCAATTATACAGTAGTAGTTGAAAAATTTTCTTATGTCAATCATATATGTAGTTACATTACATAAATACTTTTTTTAGTTTAATTGCATATGAAATAGAAAAGCTCTTGTAATGCAATTGAATTTAGTTTAATCAATTAAATTTTGAACCTACTATTAGTTTAATTGCATAAAATGATCAATATAAATCAATAATACAATCAATTGACGCGCGAGCGTGTTATGGTTAATACAAATACTTCTTCAAATTGATTAAAATATAATTTACATTTACATGATTTAACAATTTTTTTATATAGTTTATAAATAATTTGTCATGTTAAATTTAAGTATATTACATGAATCATCAGCATTTGATTTACAATCAAATAGAAATTACTTTGTATTGGTTAAACATCTGCTCGATACAATTGAAATATACAATTATCAATACATTTATCTAACAATATAGTCAATTTCGTTAGAATTAATACGAGTATACCTTGTAGTTGATTAAAATATAATTTATTCGATCTAAGAATTTTTCTGTACAATTGTGTAAATTATTTATCATGTATTATATTTAAATATTAAATGAATCATATGCATTTAATTTATAGGTAGGTAGAAAATGTTTCACATTGATTGCACATTTGCTTGATACAATCATCAATACATTGATTCGCAAGACATGATTAGAACACTTATCAAGAAACAAATCGGAATTATTCAATTATTCTCTAGATTTTTATTGCATTTTCTAGGGAAAACAGAATAATTCCGATCGGAATCCATTCCGACTTGTTCTATGATAGGTGACCAGCAGCGGAATTCTGGGTAAAACTTTCCCTGTACACAACCAGCCCCAAATTATCTACGAGTGATCTTGACCTTGACTCTTAAGAAGGTCAAGGTCATTGACCTTTTTCCTCGCTCGTTATTCATTAAAAAATCATGAGCAAAATAATTTTTATGAGTAGTACACAACTTTTAAACATAAGGTATATATATCAGCAGTATTTTCCCTTAACAAGGAGATGTGCTGATATTGCGTGCTCCCAAGCAGAGGGAGGGAGGTGGGGTGGGAGTCGCTTCGCCTCTTGTCAAGGGGCGCGCGGCTTTCGCCCTCGATTCTCCTCCCCCCTCTCCCCTGCAAAGAAATGCACGACTTTCACCTGAAGCTACTCCCGCCCCACCGCCCCTGCTTTGTAGCACACGGTTTTCACTCGAAGCGACTCCCACCCTACACATAATTGTAGTACAATTAAAGAAGTCGTGCGCCCCTTTGCAGGAGGGAGGTGGGGTGGGAATCGCTTTCGGTTAAAGTCACTAGATCTATAAAGTACCGCAAACTCACATCCATTTTTGATGCAAAACGCGGCCATTTCGAATTTATGCATTTGTATATACGTACTTTATTTAGGAAAACGAAGCCGTCAAGTGTGTAAATCAATGTTTTTGAATTGTAATTAGTTTATTTATGATCAAAAGAATATGTACGAATGATTAATTTATGTGTTCTTTAGTTTAATACGGATTTATATATTTGCTGTAGAAGTTTAGTGCATGAAAGTGCATCTGAATAACTATAATAAGTAATTTTCTTCATAAAGAGGATAAATATTTTTTAAACACATAAAGGATTGGTAATGGCCAACATATCGCAAAATATATTTCAAATATTACATTATTTCTTAAATAATATCGTATACTTTGCCAATACCTGCCGATGTCTTTATGATAAATTGTGAAGAGGTAATTGCGAAAGCCTCGAAAAGGAAAGTAGATTCGTTACATGTCGAATCTAGGTCAGGTATCCATAGTTATAATAGGACGAAATGGGCACACAGTGTTTAATTGCCGTTTTATCCTATTCTCCTCTGCTCCTTTTGCCTATACTTATCCAATTGAGTATTACTTTCGCGAAGGACTCTTGTCTCTCGGGAACAGGACGAAAAAGCATTTGTCTCTGATTTGAAAGCATCATAATGCCAGCTTTGTGATTATTATTCCTGGAATTAGACGTGAGTACGGTTCCCTATTTGAAGCTACTTGCATTTGTTATATTTTCAGAAGCGTCTTCCATTGAATGAATTATGATTGTTCCTTTTGAACAAGCTAATGTCAAGCTATATTGAGACAATAATGATATATTTGTACTTATTTTGTACACTTTAACGTAGAATCAAACTAGTGAATTAAAGTACAAATATGGTTACGTCTTTAAATTAAAGAGAAATATTTTAGTTACAATTTTTTTTTCTGAAGATTTTATAAAAATAAAATCTTCAATTTTAGTTCATAAAAATAATTTTCGGTGTTAATGGATTAATTGTGTACGATGCTTATCACGGAAGTCGAGGTGCAGCAGTTGGTACTGCCATGTGTACGTCGCGCGAATAAAGCAATTTTCTCCTAGAGGCATTTTTAGAAAGAGTGCGAAGCAGCACTCGGTTCGCGAGCGTCTCTACCATCCGATAAGACTTCGGGATGGATCGGATTTTTTGCTCTTGGAACAATTCTATCCTGGCTATTATCTACTTTCTTTCGCTCTCTTCCTTCATCTCTTCTCTGTTGCTCCTTTATCGCTTCCTTGCGCTACCTTTGCCACGAGCCCATCTCCATCCCCTTTTGCGTCCATATTTCCGGGCGGATCGCGTCGCGTAAAAACTATAATTGTATAAAAGATGTTCCCAGGCCGGCGCACATTGTTCTTCCCATTCCCGCAGAGTTGAGTCAAGAAAAGAGGAATTTCCATAGATCTCTCCATTGATTTCTTCGCGGAATCTATCTAACCACGCCAACGATATCCAAAGGTTTATTCACTGAAATAAGACGAGGAAATTGTGTGCGAACATATTCGTGGACATATTTGTTAGCAAAATTAATTTTATCGAGTTAAAATACAATTAAATGTTATTATTATTTGACATTGTGTTATCTTGGACTCTATCATAGTTTGTTATAGCGTTTGCTATATTACGTAAATATTTTGGTTAT